CCCGACTCCACCCCGGTAGCCTCAGTGTCCACATCTGTAAGCAGGTGTTTATAGTTAAGTGGCCCAGAGCTCTGGGCTCAGATGACCAGATTTTCATTTTCTGTACCTTGGAAAAGCAGTTCAATAACCACATCTACTTCCTAGTGGATGCGATGAGGCAGTTAGCGTGGAATGTGAAGGCAGTGCCCACACTCTGGCAGCATGATTCCAGAAGGCTCCTTGTGACAGTTGCTTTTGCTGAACAGACTCAGCCAGCTGTGGAGTAGAGAGCGCACTCTGGAGTCAGCCTGCCTGGATTTGAACCCTGCTTCAGCCACTTCCTAGCTCCATGACCTTGGGCAAATCACCATGACTCAGTTTCCTAATCTGTAAAAAGGGAATAATAATAATAACGATGACAATAATATTTTTTAATAAAAAAAGGGAATAACACTCATACCTACCTTGAAGGGTTGTTTTGAGGTTTCAGTATGTTGATGTGCATGCAAAGTGCTTAAACAGTGTCTGACACAGCACCAGATTTAGTTTTACTATTGTTGGTATTATTATCACCTCCAGGGCTGTTATCGCTAAAGCTCCAACGGCCCCACCAAGTACTGTGGGTTTTGCCAACTCATCCTCGCTCAGCAGGTCCGGCCACACCCACTCCTAACTCCGCGGGCCTGAGTCACCCCCGACTGTGCGTCGCCTGCGCCCTCCTATCCCACAACCTGCAGACTCACCCTGAGTCAGCCGGCCCGGGCGCTTCCACTCCCGGGACCCCACGCGGCGGAGAAGAGGCAGCGAGGCGCCCCCCGGCGGAGATTCGGAGCCCCGCGTCTCTACCGCAGCGCCCAACGAGCCGAGCCGACGTTGGATTGGGGAGCTCCGGATTGGAGCCAGACCACCGCGGGGCCGGGGGAGAAAGGCGATCGAAACCTGGGCCCCCCGCCCGCCCATGCACAATGGTACGGCCCGGCCGGGTTAAGGCCCGGGGGAGGCGGCGCCGCCAGCCGCGGCGGCATAATGGGGCTGCGCGCCGGAGGAGCACTGGGCAGGATGGGTGCGGGCGGGATGGGTGCGGGCCGGGGGGCGCCGGAGGGACCCGAACCAAGAAGCAGCGCTCAGGGCGGCAGCATCCACTCGGGCTGCATCGCCACGGTGCACAATGTGCCGCTGAGCGTGCTCATCCGGCCGCTGCAGTCTGTGCTGGACCCGGTCAAGGTGCAGAGTCTAGTGGACACGATCCGGGTGAGGCCCCGGGGAGGCCAGGGGGAGGGAGGGCTCCGGAGGAGGGAGGTTGCACTGGACGGGAGAGGGGACTGGTTCTAAACTCTACTGGAGCTCAGTAGTTGCTGTGTGACCTTGAACAAGTGACTGAGCCTCTCTGCGCCTCTCTTTCCTCACTTGAGCAAGGGGGATTGGACGAGACGATTAAAATAACGATCGCTAACTTTTATAAAGATGACACTTGCAGTGTCTTCGGTTCTTCACGCCAAGCCGATTAGGTAGATACTACTATTGTTCCTCTTTCACAGACGAGGAAACTGAGGAGGATTTAAGCAGCTCGTTCAAGGTCAGGCACTTAGAAAGTGGCACAACTTGGCCTCAGTGCCCAGGAGCATGACCACCACACTATCTGGAGATAAGCTGTGCTGTCACTTCTGGTTGTGACGGTCAGTGGCAGGGAGACTGGGCATGTCTGTTTGCCAGGAAGGCCTTGTTTGAATTGTAACAAGGAGAGAACAGGGGTCAGCCCCACCACTGAAGGACAATGTTCAAGAATGCAGGAGTGACCCTGGAACTTAGGGGAAGGGAGGAAACATATGTACCAGGTTAGGTCTGCACGGCATCTTGTCCCATTCCCCCAGACCCTTAGAAGGTGACCATCCGAGACCCAAGACCCCACCAAACAGCTCCCTCAAATGTCTTTCAGTCCTAGAGTTTACACTGCTGTTCCCACTGCCTGAAACCATTTCTCCAGGTAACCACAGGGCCTTCTCCTTCATTTGTTTCAAGTCTCTGCCTCCTTGTCTGCCCTGGCTCATGGAGCCCTGGCTTCTCTAGCTGCCCCCTTAACCTTTGGTATTTCTCCATGAAGCACTTATATCCACCTGAAATTATACCTTTATTTGTTCATGTTTCATTGACTGTCTGCCCCACCTCATGTGAACTCTACAAGAACAGGGACTTCGTCATGCCTTGGCTGTTTTCCTCAACACTAGCACGGAGCCTGGCTTGGAGGATCTAGCCATGCATGCTCTCTCCCACCCTGGGCCTTTAAAGAGACTTTTTCCCCTTCCAGGAAAACCCTTCCATCTTCTTTATTATTTCTAATGCCTCATTCTTCCTGTCTCAGGGTTAATATCTTCCCTGATGGCCCCTACTGGGTTAGGGGCCTCCTGTGGGCCCCTAGCCACTTGCATGCCCACCACCATAGTTCTGATCTCACTGGGTTTTAATGGGCTGTTTAGATACTTGTCTTCCACCCTACCTAGAACCATATGCCCTGTGAAGGCAAGAACCCAGACCTGTCTTTGCTTACCATAGGTTTTAGTTTTCTATGACTACTGTAACAAATTACCAGAAACTTGGTGGCTTAAAACAATGCAAATTTGTTATTTTATAATCCTATAGCCAGAAGTCCAAAATGGATCTGGCTGGGCTAAAATCACGATGTCAGCAGGGTTGCATTCCTTTCTGAGAATCCATTTCCTTGCCTTTCCCAGCTTTTAGTGGGCATCACATTCCTTGGTTCATGGCATCCTCCCTCCATCTTCAAAGCCAGCAACATCAGACCTCCTCTTCTGCCAGAATAATCTCCCATCTCAAGATCCTTAACTTAATTGCATCTGTCAAGTCCCTCATGCCATGCAAGGTAACATATTCACAGCCTCCAGTGATTAGAATGTGGCCATCTTTGGGAGCTGTTATTCTGCCTACCCTCCATCATGCCGCCAGCACCCAACATGGCTGCCCCTCCCCTCTCTAGTGCTCCACTGCCAAGCAGGCCATGATCCATGCCACCCATGCGTCAGCTTCTTGATTCTCCATCCCATTTTGCAGATGAGGAATAATGTTTAGAGAGGCGAGGTCACTTGCTCAGGGTCCCCCTGCTGCTCCATGGAGGAGCTGAGATTCAAATGCAGGTTTGCCCCTGGTTCTAGAGCCCTGGCTCATAAATGCTCATGACTTACTGCTTAATAATCATATCTGGAATAAATGGACAAATGAATACATCAAAGCAGCATAATAAGAAAAACTGTGGGCCAATGGCAGCTCACACTTAATACAGTCTTCCCAGCATCCTCTACCCTCCATCCAGCCCTGCCCCAGGTTTCTCCTACTTAGAGGACCACCCATTCTCTCCCTGGCTGCAGGCCCCCAACAGGAAGTCAACTTAAATTCTCCTTCTCCTTCTTCACATTCACCTCTTCTGCCACTCCCCTCCAATCTACCCCCTAGATATATCCCAAACCTGTCCACCTCTCCCTGTCCCCTTCACCCCCTCACCCATGCCACTGTCTTCTGCTGAATACTTGCTGAGACCTCACTTCCATCATCCCTGTTTTGTCCACCCCACCAAGGCTGCTCTCCCATGACAGCTTAATAGAATATTCGTTAGATCACGTCACCCACCCCCATGTTTAAAATGCTCCAGGGCCCACCCACTGCTCTTAGAAACCCGCACGGCATTGCTCCTGCTGACCTTTCTGACCTCTTCTACTCCTCCACACCCCCTTGAGTCCACTCTGATCACACTGGCCTTCTTGCCGTGCCTCCAATACAGTGAACTTGTTCCAGCCTCAGGTCTTTTGCACTTGCTGTTCCCTCTGCCTGGAATGCTTTTCTCTCCGGTAATTCACAGCATCTAAATTTGAGCACTTTCCATGTGCCAAGCATTGTTCAAAGTGCTTTACATATACTAACTCATTTAACCCTATAGTTCTATGAAATGGGTATGTTTTCTTCATCCTCATTTGATAGATGGGGCAACTGAGGCACAAAGAGGTTGATTGTTCAAGGTCATGTAGCTGTTAAATAGCTGAGATTTGAACCTGGGTGTCAAGCTCTTACTCTAAACTATTCCAACCCTGTCTTCCAAAGTGGACTTCTCTATGTTCAGTTCTCTGCTCCACTGTCACCTCTTAGAGGCCTTATGAAGTCCCATCCCTGTCATGTCAACCTGTGTTATTGTCTTCAAGCACTTATCACTCTGACACTCACTTTTTCCTTCCATCCGCTCCATTCTACTGAAGCCCATGAAGGCAGGGGCTATGTCTTGTTCCAGCTGCATCTTATCCCCAGAGCCTAGAACAGTGCCAGGAATATATGGCGTGTGTGTTAAGTATATGCAGATATATGCAGATAGACATGCATGTGGTGTGTTATAAATTCTTAAGAAGCTAGTGTCTAGAGGGGAAAAAGCCCTGATTTGTAGCATCTGTCCATTTTCCTGGTATAAATTCTCTCGCCATGATTGATTGCTAAGCTACCAAGGTGATGTCAGCCAGATCACAAAAATCCTGAATGTTTAACAGTGTCTCTCACAAGCCGGCACAAGTGAATGTGAATACCCTATAGGAGCTCAACATAGGCTAACAAAGCCTGTGAACTGTCAAGCATTAATCCATGCTCATTCACCCTGTGCCTCCTTCTCTCCAGGAGGACCCAGACAGCGTGCCCCCCATCGATGTCCTTTGGATCAAAGGGGCCCAGGGTGGTAACTACTTCTACTCCTTCGGGGGCTGCCACCGCTATGCAGCCTACCAGCAGCTGCAGCGAGAGACCATCCCTGCCAAGCTTGTCCAGTCCACCCTCTCGGACCTAAGGGTATACCTGGGTGCTTCCACACCGGACTTGCAATAGCACCCTCCTTAGCACCTGCCACTATTCCCAAGAGCCCAGAAGACACACCTAGCCTCCAGTGGGCTGGACCATGCAGAAGGTGTATTAGTGGTGCATTCTCTTTGCTCCTGGAGGGAGGTCTGACTCTAAGCACCCTCTTTGCTAGCTGCAAGACCTTGGACATAACTACTGAACAGTGTGGGAGGCCCAGTTCCCAATGCTGTGAAAATGGATTGTGTCTTTGCTCTCAAGGGATTATTGAGAGGATAAAATGAGAAAGGAGATGGGTTTGGAGAGCTACATGCTGCTGGTTCCAGATTCTCAGGGACAAGGATATTTCTGCATTTTTGTCTTTGTATATGCTATTATGTGGAATACACTTAGCTCTATACTTCTCAGTGGCTTAAACAAAGAGAAGTTTGTTTTTCCACATAGCATCAATGTTGGAGACAGGTGGCTAATGATATTGGTTTAGCAGCTCAGGTAGAGCTCACATCACATCATTGCTTGTCACTTCATGGTTACAGGATGGCTGCCGTACCACCAGGATCATGTCTGTCTTCAAGGAAGAAAGGAATGGGGGAGGAGGAAGGGTCAAACCGGCTGGACCAGTGAAATTCTGTCATAAAGTCAAACCTTTTTCAGAGGCATGTTGCCTGCTCTCTCTCTCTGAATATTTCCACTTAGGTCTTGGCCTAAGCCAGCTACCATTGCCAACCCTAGCTGCAAAGAAAGCTAAGACAGCAGGGAACAGAATTGTCACAAGCGAGTTGACTAGTCATATCTCATTTCCTGGGACTGGCACACTGCTGCTTGAGATAAAATTGGAATCCCATTACCAAAAGAAAAATGAGGAATTGTGTAATAGTTTGCCTTTGCTGTGTAACAAACCACTCCCAAATTTAGCAGCTAAAAACAAGTCATTTATTTGCCTACAATTCTGTGGGTTGGCAGTTTGGGCTGGGCTCATCTGGACAGTTCTGCTGATGTTGCCTAGGGTCCTTCTTGGGACTGCATGCAGTCAGCTGTCACTTCAGATGGGGCTGGATGGTCTAAAATGGTCTAACTCACTTGTCTGGCCGTTAGTAGGCTGTTGCCTGGGTGACTTGGTTCTCCTCCATGTGCCCTCTCCAGTAGGTCAGCTTAGGCTTAATCACATGATGGCCTCAGGATTCCAAGAGAATGAGAGTAGAAGCTGCAAAGCTTCTTGAGTTCTAGATCCAGAATTGGTACATCACTTCCGCTAAGTTCTTTGTTCAGAGCAAATCATAAGGCTGGCCCACATTCAAGGGGAAACAGACTATTCCTCTTAGAAAAACTGAAAATAATCTGTGGCATTTTTCATCTATGACAAATGATTTGTATAAGCAAATAATGTCAGAGTCCCTCCCCTCTACATCTCTCTCTCTCTCTCTCTCTCTTTTTCTCTCTCTGTCTCGTGTATGCGCAGGGTCTCACTGTGCCCAGGCAGAAATCACTAAGACATTGTCCTGGCCGTCAGATCTAGGGGAAGAGGTAATGGGCCAGGGAGTGGATCTCTCCCAGATTTGGGCCCACTCTAGTAGGGGCGTCTCTCTTTGTCTGCACTGGTGGGGTGGGGTAGGCCAGGTGGGACATTCCAAAAGGGCCTCTGAAAACCAAGAGTCCTAGGGGAAAAGGGAGAAGTAGAGGAAGAGTACAAAGTGAGGCGGGCCCTGCTCTTCCTGCCCTGCTAAGGGATCTTGATCGAGCATTTTAAGCCTCAGTTTCCCCAACTCAGTAATGAAAATGACTGAGGTGATCAGTAGAATTTAAAAGGAATGTAGTCCTAAATGCAGTGTGATATCCTGGATTGGATCTTGGAACAACAACAACAACAAAAAGGGACTTTAGTGGAAAAACTAGAAATCTAAATAGAGTCTGGTTTTTAGTTAATAACATGCCAATGTCAGTCTGTTAGTTTTGACAAATGTACCATGTGAAGTGTAAGATGTTGACGTTGAGGTAGGCTGGGTACCGAGTATATGAAAACTCTCTGTACTATCTTGGCAACTTTTCTTTAAATCGAAAATCATTCTCAAATAAAAGTTTATTTAGAAAAAAAGAAGGGTGTAATTGCTTTTGACCAACGGTTCAAGTTCTCAAAATGGTTTGCTAAAACACAGGTGGCTAGGCTCCACCCGCAGAGTTTCTGATTCAGTAGGTCTGGGGTAGGGCCTGAGAATTTGCTTCCTAACAGGTTCCCAGGTGATGCTGCTACTGCTTCTGTCAGGGACCACAAGCTGAGAAGCACTGATCTAGACTGTCAATTGTTTTCAAACATGGCGATATCCTCTCCACCCCCACTGGTCTGGCTCCCAGAAGATCTATGTTCTAGGGCCAGCTTATGCACCCATTCCGCTGTGACATTGCTCAAGCCCTTTCCTAGGGGCTTTTTCCAAGCTGTGAGATGGACTGTCTGTCCCTAAGGTTTGTAGCAAGGGTCAGGAAGCTAAGGACGTGATTTGTAAACTGTGCTGTCATAAGGTGCCACTCTCACGTGAATAATCTTCCTGTACCCAATGGCTATAGTGACAGAATGGTTGCCCCTTCCTGAAAGCACCTTTTCTTCTTGCAGATATGGTTCTCGCAAGTAAGGTAACGTTAGGGGCTCTTCTTGGCACTGGGCAAGGAATGCAAAACAGACTTAGAGTGGGAGGGATTGGTCATTCTTAAGGGAGAGCTGGGTTTTGCAAGATGAAACCCGGTTGCTCCCAGTAGAGGCTGAGAGCCGCGTCTCCCTCTTATGCCAGCAGGTGGCGCTGCTTTCTGGCGTGCGGGAATAGGGCTAGGCCCGTAGCACGCAGAGCTACGGGAAGGGGGTGGGTAAAGAGACCTGGCTGAGAGCGAGACCCATCATTGCCCAGAAAGGCTGGGGGTCCAGGCATGAGAAGGAGACCTAGTTGAGAGTTGGGAGTTTCCGGTTCTATTTATTCTACTTAATACTGACTGCTCTTGGTCTGTGGCCTTGCACATATTATGGCCTCTTCAGGACTGTCTGTCTCCTAGTCTGCACTGGAGGTGCTGGACCCGATGGTCTCAGGCTCCGCAAAGGCGGCACCTCCTACAAGCTTCCTGATCCTCCAGGCTGAGCCACATGTTTCTTCTGGGCTCTTCTGATCCAATTGTGTGTCTCCTCCCCAAACAAACCACTGCCTCCAGGACTTGGGTCCGATAAAATGCAGTATGTAGGGACAATTTAATCCCTTTATTGCGGTGGAGACAACCCTCTTCACATAATAGATTTAAACAATTGTTTTAATGTCACAAGTTAATATATTTAGCTTTATAACATTAAGATATTCAAATACTAAGTAATTAAATACTTAAAAATTGAAATATCAGAAGCAAATGGAAGCCCAGCTTATGAGTCCCAGTTCTGGTTGTCCCTTTGTCCTCCCTCGTTGGGACAATCACCTTAATGAATTAGGCATATACCCTTCTAATTTTGCAGTGTGTATATGTGCGTAAGTAAAAAATGCTTTCTTTTATTTACATGATTTTGCAGATTGCATTTATTCCCTGGCAATGTGCCCTAGTCATCTACCTCATTAGTGCCTTTGCTCTTCTTCCAGAATCTCCTTCATTCTGGACACTTCTTCAGAAGAGCCTTCCCTGACCATACTGTCTAAAACAGCCCTGTCCTCCATCATTCCATCATCTTAATCAATTTTATTTTCTTCGTGGTCTTTATCACACTCCCTGAAATTATCTTATGTGTCTATTTATGACGATCTCACCCACTAGAAAATAAATTCTTGAGACACGGCTTCATCTGTCTTGTTTATCACTCCAGGCCCAGTGCCAAAAACAGTATATGGTACATAGTAAGTATTCAATAAATATCTGTTGAGTAAGTAAATTCTATATAGGTCTAGCTTATTCTTTTCATTGCTGCATGGTGTTCCAGGGTCCGAATATAACCATTTATTAGTCATTTTCCTGTTAATGAACATTTGGGGGTTTACAGTTATGTTGCTGCTGTGAACGTCTTCACCCATCACTCTTTGTGCCCTCAACTGTATACCTAGGAGTGGACAGCCTGGCCAGTACATAGCTCAATTTCTAATTTCTAAGTTACTGGTGAATTGCTCTCCAGAGTGGCTGTTCCAAGTGTCTCTCCCTCCAGCAGAGTTTAGGGGTTGCTTTCCTTCCATACACTCCAACCAGTGCCTCTTCTTAACCTGTTTTAGGTCACGAACATGGTTAAGAATCCTAAGAAAGCCATGATCCCTTCCTCCAGAAACACACAAATATTTCAGGCAATTTCTGGGGCTCCCTGGACTTGATGGCCTTGCCCCCCATACACACCCCAGAGGACCCTAAATCAAGTATTTAGAAGCCTAATCGTCTCATGGTATGAATGGGAACACTGTGGCACACATTGGTGGGGGTGTGAATGGATGAATAAATGGGACCTAGTTTTATGGGGGGGTAAAGTGTTCAGATCCTGATCTGTCACCTATCTGGGGGTACAAAGGGAAGAGTTTCCAGCCCTGCTCTACCCTGGACCTGGGGGACAGGAGTTTGGTCTCCAAGAGGTCCCTGGACTCAGGTCTGGGCAGTTCCACCTGTCAGCCCCGGGAAAAGGCAGACCAAGTCTGGCATCCAGGGTCAAAGCAGGGCACCAGGAAGAGGCTCTCTGACCCCTGGGTGAGAAGGAGGCTGCAGGTCATCTGTGCCTGCTTTCCATACACGGGCACTCCCTGTTTCAAATCACATTTGCTTCTTCCGTCAGACTCAGGCTTTGGGGTTTGAATCGCGACTGTAGTACCTTCTTAGCGTGCTCATTACTGAGAGGCTGCCATAACCACTACCACCAATATCATCATCATCATTATCATCATCATCATCATCGCTTCCATCCTCGATACAGTAGTATGGAGAGGTGGACAAGACAGAAATTATCTTCCCCGCTGGACACGTGGGCAAACCGAGGCCCCTATCAGAGCAGCGACCTGCCGCAGAGCCCCTGGCGAGAGCCGCCTGGTTAATGGGCCCGCACACACCGACCCCCGCCGGCATCCGCCCCGCCCGCCCTCGCGGCCTCTTCCCGGGGTCTGACCCCCGGCGCTGCCTGACAGATGACCTCAGCTGCCGCCAATCCATTGGTTCCAGCTCCCGGGGGGAGCGCAGAACAAAGCGCGCTTTGTGGCGGGGCCGTCCCCTCACCCGGCGCGTCCGCCGCCGGGACCCCCTCCGGAACTCGGAGCGACGCCCCCCAGCCGACAGCCGTGTAATGTCTTCCAGGCCGCGCAGCTCCTTCCAGAGGCGGAGCCGCGCTCGCCTCCCCCGGGGGGCTCCCTGGACCACCTAGGGCCCCTGCTTGCCGCGACACCCCCGCCCCCCACAGGCGGTGGGATTGGGAGACGTCGCCAGCGGGAGGTTGTGCTGGCCGCCAACCTGTCCCTGTGGAGGAAGCAAGTGGGCAAGAGGAATCCGTGCTCGTAGTCCAAGCCGTGGGCACAAGGCAGGTGCTGCCACCTGATAACCTTATGCTAGCCCTGAGTGCTACCATATGGGGTGGGAAATATTGTTATTGTTGGTGGTGGTGTTACTATTACTGTTGTCATTGTTGCTGCCATTGTTACTATTATTGTTATTATTTTGTAGAAGTGAAAGATTAAGATTAAGATAGACCTGGGTTTGAATCTTGGCTTTGTCACCTATTGGCTGTGGGATCTTGATAAGTAAGTTCACCTCTCATCTCAAAACAGCATTAGTAGCCAACATTTCCTGAGCACCTACTGTGTGCCAACTACTAAGTGCTTAAGCGTTTATTTAGCTAATTTAATCCTCACCACAACCTTAGGAGGGAGGTGTTATTGTCCTCATTTTACAGAGAAGGGGACTGTGGCTCTAGCCGTCCCAGAGAGAAAGTCACCTCTCTGAGCCTGTTTCCTTGTCTGTAAAATAGAGATAAAGTATAGTAACTCCGCAAGGGCTGATCACTCTCATTAGACTTACTTCTTTCCAGATGAGGGCACAGGGGCTGAGAGCAGGTCCCCGGATTGCCCAGGAGCACCCAGCATGGGTCTGCACCCCAGTGTGGTGAGGCAAACTGGATGGGACAAGGGCAGGGGCTGTAGGCGATGAGATGGGGGGTGGGCACAGTCAGCTGGGGAGGCACCTTGTAGGTGGTTAGGACTTCAGTTATTCCTCCAAGTGACCTGGGCACCATGTGAGGCTGCTGAGTGGAGGGTAGATTAGACCAGGGTGGAGAGAAGTGATCAGAATCTAGATATAATTCGAAGATAGAGCCTCAGAATTTTCCAGTGGATGGAACTCGATCTGAGGGATAGAAAGAAGGAGGATCCCGATGACTCCCTGATTCCGGAATTCATCAGCTCTTTCCAGATCCTTCACATTAGGGCCCCAGTTCCCCAAGAGCACAATGAGGAAATTAGCTTAGAAAATAAGTTTCTTCAAATCCCATCAAAAGCCTCCTTCACAATTTGGGCCACTTGGAACAGGAGGGCCTGGTATCACTTTAAAGGAATATTGTTTTTGAATTGTTAAACCTATCTGTTTTTGTTTTATATCAATTAAAAAAAAAATTAAGGAAACTTGAGATAGCCAGCCTAAATGGAAAATCAGTATCATGTGACATAAATAAATGTAGCCGTCGATATAAACAATGTAAACAACATTGTTCCTAACTGCCTCCAGATCTGGTTTAGGGACTCTCACTTTGTAGCAAGTGTTTGAAAAATCCACCCGCTTCCAACCCAGGACTCTCTCCTTGTAGGAGTCAGGATCATCACGTTCTGCATCCTCATTCTTTTTTTATTTTATTTAACAGACAAAAAGCACTTATGATAGTGTTTAAATGCTTTCCAAGTATAAAGACACTTGGTCCTCACAAAAACCCCATGAGGTTATTATCTCCCACTTTGCAGATGAGGAAACTGAGGCTCAGAGAGATGAAGTCCCTGTCCACGGTTACACAACAGGGATGAGGCAGAGCCAAGATTCAAATCCAGTCAGGCATGTCATTGAAGGCATATCATTTTCACTTTGGAAGTGCCAAACTATTGGAACAAGGAGAGCTTTCAGTTCATTTTA